GGGGGGGCGGGGAGGAGGGGGGTTGCCCGCAGAGGGTGGTTTGGGCTGGGAGAGCCCAGAGGTGCCCCTGTCCTGACCCTGAAGCTGCCCCTCTGCATCGGGGGCAGACGCCCCTTGGTGCAGGCAGTGCCCTGTGCGGTAGGGAGGAGAAAAGGGGGGGCTCCTGAAGTTTCTTTCCCTCACCGCTGGCTTTTCTTTTTCCATTAGGCTAAACTGAAGCATCTCTTGCTTTGCTGATAGTGATGCTGTCTGTGTCGCTGGTAAAGAGTGAATAAAAGCACTCGACTTACACTATGAGTTTATCCTTTTACTCAGTGAAGCCTGGAAGCTTAGAAAGACTAACTGTGCTCTCAAAGCACTCTGAAGTCTCTTCTCCCAAGTAACAAGCAATAGGACAAGAGGGAATGGCCTCAAGTTGCACTAGAGGAGGTTTAGATTGGATATTAGGAAAAATTTATTCACTGAAAGGGTTATCGAGCCTTGGAACAGGCTGCCCGGGGAAGTGGTGGAGTCACCATCCCTGGAGGTGTTTAAAAGACTCATAGATGTGGCACTTAGGGACATGGTTAGTGGTGGACTTGGCAGTGCTAGGTTAACGGTTGAACTCAATGATGGTAAATGTCTCTTCCAACCTGAATGATTTCTATGAACAGAGCATAAAGGGCTGGTGGAGGGTTGACACTGGCCTGGTCACCCTTTCTAGCTTTGATGCTGTGGCTGGTAGAGACTGGGCTAGGGTTGAGCCCTACATGAGGGCTGGGTCAGTGTATTGCTAATTTAGGCAGGCACATCTGATTAGAGTTGTGACTGGCCACTTAGGGGCTGTCAGGTTTAAAGTTAGGACCTGTATTGGCAGATAAAATATGTTAGTTAAGAAGTTACGCTGTTAGGTACCAGCTGACCTCACCTAGGTTTGGTGAAGATGGGGATCTGTTTTAATAATAGTAACAGTCTAAACCAAACCAAAATAAAAATCTGGAAAAGGCCAGAAAAAGAAATAAAAGTTTTGACTTGATTTTTTTTGTTTGGTTGTTTTATTCCCCTGGGAAAAGGTGAAAAGAAACTCTTTTATGTTTCTGAAGAAAAAAAAAATTGAGAAACCATTGCTAAAGCCATAATATGTATATCCTTAAATGATGTTTTATATAACCAACAGGTGTTTCAAAACATGCTGTGTTGGGGAATTAACTTTTGCCTACAAGATATGGGGAGTAGAATTGTCAGTGCTGTGTTATGTTACTGACTCATATTGGTTACAATTCTATAATTCCAAATTCATTTTCCCTAGAAATGTATATTCGGAAGAATGCAGAAACACAAGGCCTTTTCTTAGTATGCTGGTTTTGGGGTCTGTAAAAACTTTGTTCTCAGAACTAAGCAATGTTAATGCCTTTTATTTCCTAATATTTTAAATGGGTTTTCTGTTTGAGAGCAATAGTCAGATTCAGTGAGGTGTGTGTGCAGAGCAGCTCCTAATAAGGTAATTGTCATTGTCGACAGAGTAACTGAAAAGCTTTCTGTTCATCTGTATCCCAAGGATTGCTTTCGAGTTGCTAATTTTACATAATGTTTGTTTAAAGTTTACATGTTGGCTTCTGTTTGTTTAGAGTTAAAGACTATGGTAGCTATTTGTGTTTTCCTCCAAATATCTTTTTATGGGGTCAAGGAACAGCCCTGTAGGGAAGACGGGCCTAGGACTCCTTGGCAGCCTCTGCATACATGGACAGTGATGTGGGGCCTGGCTGTTTCTTGTGTGTTCTCAGACTTTTTGGAAACAATTACCTTATTTTTTGCCATGTAAGAGTTCTGCTGTACATGGGATGATTGATGATGTTCAGGTAGTTTTTTAAGTGCCCTAAGTATAAGATGATTTTTAAATTTTTTTTTTCTTTCAGTGTATCAGTCTTGGGGACAAGAGTCCTTTGCTGGGCAGCTCTAGGATCTGGTCTGTACCTGACTGCATGGGAGGTCTTGTGTAAAACCAGATTGCTGCTATGTGCTGGCAGCACTTCCCAGATGGGTTCTGCAGCTTTGACATGCTTTTACTGTAACTATATATCTAATGGGATTTCTAAGCTTTTCTGAAAAAAAAAGCAAAGCAGAAGGCTATCAGCACTACCTTGCTGATTAGCCATGTTGATGTAAAGTCGCCTGTGCAGACTTTTAGGACTTGGTTTTAACTGATGAGTGAAAAGATATCTTCTGTGTGTGTCACCTTCTCCTGTGTGATGATAAGTCTGTTAGCGGGTTTCACACCAGACATAAAAAAAGAGTGTTGAGACTTGTGAATTGGAGACTTCGCAAGGCCAGGTTTTGGAGATGAGTGTGCTTTGTGACTTGCAAACAATTTAGGTGCAAGATGGACAATGTGGGACATAAGAAAGGCAGGAATAGAGTGTGTTGCCTATAGCCATGTGGGGTTAGGAAGTTCAGCTTCAAACATGCCTTTGCGCTCTTCAGTCTTTTAGCCTGACCCACTATCCACTTCTCCCTTAGCTCTTCCCCTTCTCGTGTTCCAGTACTATTTCTTTTCCTTTAACAGAAGGGTTACATAAATTCTTGCTGGTGCATTTTCCTCACATTTCTTCCTGCCAGCTCCTTTTCCTTCCCCTTTCTTCTCTTCAAAGCTCCCCTCAGACTGTTCCCTCCTTCCTGCCTGCAGCTGTTGAAGCCCTGGGAAAGGACAGCTCTATTGCAGCACTTTGTACCTACAAACTAAGCGGAGTTGGTGCTGGTTCAGATCTGGCAGAAGCTTATTTTGTTAATTTGTGGGGCTGGTGCAGTCAGCATGTAGAGATGGGACATGTTCAATGCAGTCTTTAAAGAAGCTTAGAGCATTTAATTTAGGGTTGGTTAGTTAAATATATGTGGAGGTAACTTGGTGCATGGAGGTGACTGACCAGGGAGTGTTGTATTAGCTTCTAAAATAAATGGAAGGGGGAGGGACTGTGAAATTGTATGTAGAAGGTAGTTGCTTTGGTAGATAAAGCTTTAGACTGGAAGTGAAGGATGTCTGATGCCAAAATGTTGGCTTCAGATTAAATTTCAGTAGTTTGGATGAATTGTTTCTATGATGTATTTTTGCTTTAGCTGACACTTTGATGCAAGTTTTCAACAAAATATTTCAGTGAGAACAAAGCAGGAGATGGGGGTGGACAGCTCACTGGAGAAAGAAAGTAAGCCTGTCTATAGCATTGAAAAAATCATGCTCAAATTTCAGGATAAATACTGAGTAATTTTATTAGGCTATTCTCAATGTCCCAGCATAGGATATTTTTTTCTGTCCTGTTTCAAGGCCTTACAGGATATTTGAGTGTTTTCAACAATCAAAATACTTTGTAAGCAGTGGCAGGAAGCAAATATTGCACGGCTGTCCATTTTAACAAGTTCACATTAATATTTTCTTAAAAACTCTTCAGTTTTACACGTTTTTATTCTGTTTCATTATGTCAGGTGTTTTAAGTCCAGAAGGACTGTTGCATTATCTAGTCTGATCTCCTTTGCAAGACAAACCATCTGTACTGTTGTTTACACCCTTTACAGACTTTACATAAATTTATCTCCCCCTTTCATATTAATCTGAAGGCACTTCTTGCAGACTGTTAATATCTCAGATTTTGTTACTATTTTTTATTACACTATTTGTATTGTTGAAAATGTTTTGAGGTGACCTTAATGTTTAGTTTCAGACTAAAAGTTGCAACGGATAGAGGAATGGAAGTATTTTAAAACCTCTTAGTCCCTGTTGTTTTGCTCTTTGAGACTTGCTGTTTTATATAAGACTTCACTGTGGGCTTATAAGGGCAATTGCTATTTTTCTTTAATTCTCTAGTTTCCTAGCTAAATGAAAACTTAATGAAAAATCAAAACCGAAGGATTCTGGAAATCCTTCGTTTAATAACGCAACTGAATGTTATCTGTGAAAAAACAGGTGCATTAAAACACTTATAGTTCTTATGCTGGATTAAACTGACTGATTCAAACAAATTAGTTTTAAAGTAAAATGATTTTTTTTGCTTTATTGTTAATCGTATTGCAATTTCTTTTTTTTTTCTTCAGCAGAGTCTTCATCTTTTTTCTTTGGTTTTTTTTTAGTTGATTAACAACTTTTCACTTGCGCCTCTCTGCAGCTAGCCATAACTACTGTGGTCTTTCTTTTTTCCCATGCCTGTTATTTCAAGGCAAAACTATTGCTCAGCTTCTCATTAAGAATAAGACGTAAAAGTGCTGTACAATTGGTAAGCAGTTAAATTGGTGAAAAAACAATGTAGCATTTAACTAAAATTGGCAAATTGCTTGCTAGATGGAGTTATGTGCTGGCAGTACTTGGAATAGGAAGCTTCAGATATTGGTCATTTTTCAATAATTTGAGAATCTTTTTGTAATAAGTATGTGTGTATGTTTGTTGCTATGGGAATGACTGAGAGAGCTGGAATTAAGTGTTATTATTCCTTTGTGGAATCAGAAGGGACAAGCAGATGGCTGTGAAAGCAAAAATTCTTGTTTCGAAACATACAGCTTTTCTTCTAGCAGACCTGACTTACTCAAGTTTTGTATACAGTTTGTGGAGGATTTTTTTGAGGTAAGTGAAGTTGATTTTAGTTTACTCAATATCTGTTAATATATCTAATGAATTTCATGACTCTTGAAAAGGGGGAAAACAGATTTAAGGAAAAATTAATTCTAATGGTTTAGTGTCTTGGGTAACTATTACTGTGTCTGTGTATTGAATGTTCCTGCTTCAGGAATGTTCATAGGAGCCAGATGTGAGTGTAACAGATTGAGAGAGGAAGGGTTTTTTAGTTGTTGGGTTTGGTTTGTTTCCCACCCCCCTTCCCTGGGAAAATTTAGT